GTCTTGCCTTGATAGCTGTAAAAAATGAGAGGATTTGGGATCATCCCAAGGCTAATAGCATTGGTCTTTATGCCTGCAGGTGTGCCTGAAAATCTCAGTTCTCCATAATGGGACAGGAGGTGTCTCTGATAGGTGTCTTTGTTTTCCCTTGCCAGAAACTGTGATGGGAGGAAAAGAGGTAGGTAGGTTGTTGTGCAGGTTTGAGAAGAGATTTCGTTAATGTTTACTGTTCGCACAAGCAATACCAGTCTCTTTGGCTGGCAGGTGCTGTCTTCTGCTCTTTGACAATTCTGCATTAGCTAGAGAGTACTTCTGAAGATTAACTAATGATGTCAAGCTCAGCTTGTTGGTGGCCACCAGCAGCACATACAGTAATGGCAGTGATTAAGTCAGGATCACAGGTTGCAGTAACCACTCCATGCCTAGCATCAGTTTCAAAATGACCTTTAGCACATCAGAGTTACAAAACCTTTTATCCTGAATTTTCAGAAATAAGAATATGTTGAGGAAAAGCAGTAGTTTATTCATCTTACGTGGCATCATTATGGTGAGGTAGTGGTTGTGACACCTACTCCCTTCCCCAAAGGGAGAATACAGAAGTGTGTTCTCTTAACAGCAGTGTTGTAGTGAGCGTATCAGTTCTTTGGGGGTTGTTTGTTTTGACATACACATTAAGCATGGATATCTGTTGTGTTGTCACCACTGCTGGTGGCTTTTTATTTTCACTATTGCTGGATTGCAATTGTTGTTGTAAACATCACAGGTGAATTCCATGGAAACTTTTCCCCCCCCCTAAATATCTGGAGAGCTACAACTAGAGATTTTCCTGAAAAAAACCGCATTTTCTTTAAGTAATGGCTCAGTAGACTTTATTGTGGTGGGTACTTGGCCATTGTGACAACATAACCAAATCTGTTAAATAACAGGAAATGGGAGAATTCCCATGAGTCTGAAATTACACACATACTCTAGGAAACACGTGGCAACAGATGTGGTGAAGTAGATCTACTTAAATCAAGTTAACCATACTTTAACGAAAAAGTTATAACTGTTTTATTTTTAGCAATGTAAAATCTTGAGTGACAGTTCTCATGACTGTACTGAGCAAGCAGTTCGTTACTATGGTGGATAGACTGTTTCACAAAGAAATAAAATTGCCAAGCACAAATTTTCTTTTCTTCCTTTTAACACCCAGAGATTCGTTTAATAGAATCAGTCAACCATTAAATGTGATTGTGCAAAATGAGGTAAATGGCATACAAGAATATCCTCCTTCTTCCTCTAGTCAAAAGATATGTTGAAGGCAGTGGGCGAGATCGTATGACCAATGTACAAAAGATGGTGAGTTAATGCCAGGTAGGAAACATAGATTATTTTACCTAGATGCTATCAGTGATCCTACAATCTCAGACTGAATGCTTAGGTAAGATACTAGATAAAAGTGGCATGATATATTTGGAGACAGAATGATAACTGTGTTCACCACCAACAGTATCTTTAGTTCCCTTTTCATGTGCAGCAGTGAGCAAGATCCAAGAAGCCATCTCTTCTGTCTAATCTAGTTCAAGAAGGATCACCCCAAACAAGAACACAATATATGATGTGATGCTTTGAAAGAAAATTATCCACTAACTTTGCAACAAATCTGAAACTGCTGCCACAATATACTAATGCCAGTCATTGAACAAAAGGGAAAGAACAAGACCAGTTAATATAAGGAAAAAGAATCCAGAAATAAACTCATTTTGTGCCATATTTTTTCCATACATTTCTCCCTCATCTGCTTTTTGTCTTCAGCAAGCAGTATTTATCTGCCTCTGTTGCCATCCTTCAGCAGCTAGTGACTGTATCTCCATTTTTCTTGAGGACATCTATCCCTGTTCCACATTCAAAACACAGGTCTACCTCATCATGTTTTATGAGAGAGAGCAAACTCCAAACTAAACTCACAGTTTAAACAGTTGTTGTTTTTAACCTGGTCTTGTTTGCATGAGTGCTGCATTTTAGACCTAAAGGTTTGTGGGCAAACCTTCACTCAGTAATGTTTTAGTTGGGTCTGGCTCTACTGATTGCTCCTTATTTTGCTTGGTGTCAGCATGAATGAGGTTGAGTTTGGATGTAGAATCATAGAATCATAGAATGGTTTGGGTTGGAAAGGACCTTAAGATCACCTAGTTCCAACCCCTCTGCCATGGGCAGGGACACCTCGCACTAAATCATGTCACCCAAGGCTCTGTCCAGCCTGGCCTTGAACACCGCCAGGGATGGAGCATTCACAACTTCCTTGGGCAGCCTGTTCCACCTCCTGTACTGCCTCACCACCCTTACAGTAAAGAACTTCTTCCTTATGTCTAACCCGAACTTCCCCTGTTTCAGTTTGAACCCATTACCCCTTGTCTTATCACTACAGTCCCTAATGAAGAGTCCCTCCCCAGCATCCTTATAGGTCTCCTTCAGATACTGAAAGGCTGCTATGAGGTCTCCATGCAGCTTCTCTTCTCCAGGCTGAACAGCCCCAACTTTCTCAGCCTGTCTTCATACGGGAGGTGCTCCAGCCCCTGTATCATCCTTGTGGCCCTCCTCTGGACTTGCTTCAGCAGCTCTGTGTCCTTTTTATCTTGAGGACACCAGAACTGTGCACAACATTCCAAGTGAGGTCTCATGAGAGCAGAGTATAGAACCCTTGGTGGGCATAGTCATCTCTGACTGCAAACCAGAGGGAGGGAAGCTGCCAGGGGAGGTTCCCACCAGAATGCTGCAGGGCTTTTTGTTGCTGTTGTGTGGGCTGTGACTGGTTTGATCTATTCTCGTGTTCAGGTTTAGAGATGGTTGTTGTGAGTAGTACATCTTAATCAAGAGATAAATAGGATGACCTTCTGTCCTGCACCTGCTTCTTTTTCACTACATACAGGATAGCATCATTAGGTCTGTAGGTTGTTTTCTAGCTTGATACGGCCTACATAGAAAACCATCTTAATTATTCTTCCTGTCTTCAAGTGTTTTGAGAAGCAGGAGGCCAGGGGTACACTGAGGTGGCCGTATCTTCTGTAAGAGGTCTGCGAAAGACATGGAATAACAAAAGACTTTCCAGAACTCATTTGTCAGGCTGTTAAGCAGGTATGGACACCCTGCATTTTGTTTCCCATTTTAACTGGGAGTTCAAACACCCAGTGGGGTTAATAACAGGGGGAGAAATTAATACATCATTCAAGGTCTTTACAAAATACTAGATGCAGGTGCAGTTATTGCATTTACAAAGAGAAGCTTAGGGAAGGAGCTGAAGGTGATCACTTACATTTTGAAGGGATTGGCTGTTTGCATGGCTTTTCTGTTTGTGTATTGTGTGGACACAACTTGGACATAGATTTTGCAGGTTATTTTCAACCAAGTAAATTGTACATTTTGTTATGCTTATTTCTGCATCAGTGTATTTTCTCCAATCTTACACATACTAAAGCACCATAAAATATCCAGCAGGATTGGGCAGTATTTAGTACAGGACTTACTTTAATCAGCATTTGGATGTTTTTATTAAGGCTTCTTAGGAACATGTTTTAGTTAAAACAGTCTTTGTCTTGCATCAGTATTACTGAAAATCAATGTGAGATAGGTTTGTGGATTCCTGTAAAACATTTATTCATTTTCTTGGTCTTGGAAGAGGCAAATGCTTCACATTGTAAAATACAGAACTTAAATTTCCCTGGACTGACAAACATCTTTTTCTGTTTTGACCACTACTTTGTATAAATCTAGGAAGTTTTTTCAGTAGTTTTGTGCTAGCCATGACACAGTCACTCTACTCATGATAGTGTTTAATAGTATTTCTGTATTACATCTTTAATATATTTACTACTTAAAAGAAATTAATGATGTGCACCAACAGCTTTTTGGGCAGGTGAAACCTCAAGTGGAAATGAGTCCAGCTGCTGTCCTTGACTGGACAGCAAGCTGGCATGCTTGCTCCAATGGCAGTCATTAAGAAGCCTCCGAGCGAGGCTTGTTCTTCTGAATATATAGGTAGCTATGTAGCACTTTGCAGTGGTTTATGTTGTAAGAAAAATAATGATACAGAAAAACATGGCTATATAATTGTGTCTTCTGTATGGTGTCTGTAAAAGAGGAAGAGGACTTGTTTTCCTGTATAAGAAGTAATGGATATGATATATGCATGGAACTAAAATTCATTAAAATTATTACCACTATTTTTGTGTATACTTTCATTACTTCTAAATGTGGACAGCTAAGTGAATTAGGCTGGCAAACTTTGACCCCTTAAAATACGAAAATATGTTTTTCCTGACTGTTTAAAGTTCCTGAAGGTTTGAATAATCTCTGATTGAAGGCTGTATTCATGCTGAAAGTATGATAGAAAATAGCATAAATAATATAATCAGGTTAATACAGTCGATGTTAAAATTACTGCTTTAGAGCTGAAATAAACCTGTAAACCTGGTTAGTTTAAAAAATACCCATGGCTGTGCATGATGCTCTCCTAAAAAAGTTAATATATAGTATGGAGCATAACTGCCAATGTAAATGTAGATCAGCAATTTTCAGGTCTAGCTTTGGTTAGATAAATTCAAATTAGAACTTCATTAGGAGTAAAGACTGAAGCAGAAACTGTATACAGATCGTAATTTCAGTGTATTTTGCTTTTTCATGTCTCTGAATCTTTACTAATAGTGCATTCTTAATGAGTTAAGTATTTTAAATATTGACATGTATAGACTGACTCAGTCATTCAGTATCACCTTCTGCATTTATAATCACAAACAATAAAAATCATTTATACTCACTTGACTTTTGCAGCCATACTTGTGCTTTATTTAAATGAAAAAGCACAAATTTAAAAACCTGAAGTTTGAATGAACAAGAGAAATATGTCTTTGAAGAGCCTTTTCAAACTCTGTAAAATCACAGGATTAAAGCAGTAGCTATTTTCGTAAGTTGGAAGTCTTTTTTGAGTCAGTATTTGAGTGATTTTTGTTGTGTTTCCACAGGTTTTCAATACATATTCTAATGAGGACTATGACAGGAGAAATGATGAAGTTGACCCAGTGGCTGCATCAGCTGAATATGAACTTGAGAAGCGTGTGGAAAAACTGGAGCTCTTCCCGGTTGAACTAGAAAAAGGTACATGGTCTGTGTGACATTTCCAGTTCCTGTGACACTGATCTGCAAGTCTGAGGAAGTCCACACATGCCTACAGAGCCTAATATGAATTCCCATGAATCTGTCATAGTCACGTTGGCTTTTTGTATTTCAGGAATTGTTCAAAAAGGAATTGAAGCAGCTCAAGACATGTAGTTCTTTACTTCCCTAAGAGAATTGTTTTGTGGCATTCCATTAACACATGATTTTACAGAGTGTTTGATGTGATGTGTTCATTCACCACTGGAAGAGTAAAAGTCTTGATTGTTGTTCTAAGCTCCTCATAAGGGTGAAGGTGAACTTTTTGTGTGTGTAATTAAATAGATTTCTTAAAAGGAAGCGAAAGAGTATTAATGGCAGTGACATGGGAAAGCAGGAGGAGCCAAAGCATGTATGTTTACCTATCATCAAATAACTGTACAAATCAAATGTAAGAAGTTTCTGCTTTTACTTGCCTTTTTCACAGATGAAGATGGACTTGGCATAAGCATTATTGGAATGGGAGTTGGAGCAGATGCAGGCCTCGAAAAACTGGGAATATTTGTCAAAACAGTAACAGAAGGTGGGGCAGCAGAAAGAGATGGCAGGTAAACCAGACCCAGTGTTTGGAAACCTTCCCAGCAATAATTAGTATCAGTTACGATTTTCATAGGGAAGACTTGTTTGCTCAGAGTATGTCATGATAACTCAAAGCTGTAAAATTTGAAGACTTCATTGGTACGGCCCAAATACCTGATGTGGTTATGACAAGACATACGGTTAAACAGTCTCCTTAAGGAGAACAGATTTGCCAAAGATGTGTGTTCATGACTACTGAAAACCCTGATGCTTTAGCATAAGGAAAGCTGGTGATTCAAAATTGTCTATCACTTTTGATCGTAGCTTAGATTTTAAAGGTGTTGATCTCCAATGTGTTCTTTTGGCTTCAAAAAAGCTTTAAATAATCAGTACTTACGAAAAAGACTTCTGCTTCACATTTGCTGAGGAAAATAATTAGTGTATCTGAATGCTTAAACTCTTACTAAATACACCTCCTTTCAAGTTTACTAACACAGGCTGTTGCTTTGTATTTCTCTCTATGCATATTCTTCTGTACCAGAGTACAGTTTTCACCCCTGCAGCATTGAAAGTGTGTTCACCAATTGGAATAGGAAGCTGTACCATAAATCTTGCCCTCTAAAGAAGTACATTGGTGTTTGTAAGTCTTGTATGATAATCATATAAATCCTGGTTGCTTCTAGAATTGCTTACTTGGTATGTGCAGGTTAAAGAATTCCTTTTAAACATACAACATTTCCTATCATACAGGACAGAGTTATCTGTGTATTACATAATACCTGCCACAATCAGGCCAATTTATCTAATTGAAAGTTAGAAAAACACTTTACTGTGTAATCGTTTAATAATGAAAAGTATTCTTACACATCTTCCAACCCATGTAATTTATTGGTTTGTCCCAGTGCATAACCCTTTTTAAATCTGCATGCAAATAATGTATTACTTAGCTGATCCATTAGCAATTAAGTCTGTTTATACACCTCTCTACTTCTATTTTTAACCATTAATGATTTGTTATATTAGTTAGATGTAATACCAAACACGTGCACAGGTAAATAGAGTAACAATAAACTCTAAAAAGTTGATGCTGTCTTCTAAAATATGTAGTGCAGTAACGTGTTCTTTACTGATGAACACCTATAACTTTTCAACCAGACAAAAGTTTGTTCGTCTGTGGAAACCCCACACAAATTAAATCAGAAGGCTCTACATGGCAGAGGGATGCAAAGTTTAACAACATCACTCTAAGACTACTGAAGTATACCCTCTACTAGATTGGTTTTGCAGGTATCTTTACAGATCTTGGCAATAAGATACCAGGTTGAAGGCCAAGTACTGGTTTAGGCTTAAAAATTATGAAGAGAAGTGAAGAAGCTGACACCTTCAGATGTCATGACTTCATCCATTACCTTTAATTTAAGTGAGTTTTTTTGTCTGAAAGGTATGCTTGAGGTCAGCCAGAAGGCGTTAAGATCACAACTGGCATTCTTTGTGAAAGTCTCTATTTGAAAATCAGAGTCACTCACTACTGGTCTATGATAATCTGTATTTTCTGTTGCTCTCATTGTTTACATGTTTGAGTGGGCTACAGAAGTTAATGTTCAATCACAAGTCTCTTCTTTCATTTCCCTAGATGGCATCTGAAAGAGCTTGTCAGCTAAGAATAAAATGACATCTTTCTTTGACCATTCTAATATTTGCGTTGGTTTTCAACTGGCTGAATGTTCAGTCAGCTGAGAAACAGCCCTCTGATTTTCTCTTTGAGAGCCTGGCTGATCATTCACTTGGGAAAGGGGTATGTAATCCTCTCAGTCAGGAGCAGCTGGTTCTGTAATAAAGTGCATCAACTGTAAAGGGTCCTGTTAACCTCATCTTTGTGACAAGCCTAGTTATTCATTAACGTTGATATCAAAACAAAGTCTCCTAACAGAAAATATAGTTTTATTTCAGGAGTTGCATCAGATATTCTGAATAACCACATAGCAATCTTCAACCAGGCTCTTCTGAAACTACAATTTAAAACATTACACTACGTGTAGGGTAACACCCATCTTTTACTGAAAGACCCATCAAATTGTGATATAAAGTACATGCCTCCCATGGAAACCCAAAATCTGTACAGAGGTTGCTCAGTGATTGAGCACCACTGGCTTGATTCATGTTGCGTTTAGTTGTCATATCAAAAGGCGTTGTGTGGCAGTATTTAACCAGGGAGAGTGCTTTGAGATGAATCTAAAGGCAAGCATGTTAGTAAGTAATAAGAGAGATTATTAATAGTGTGTAAAATGTGAAAAAATAATTAGACTAAAGATGAAAAATAAAATCTTTAACTGGATGAATTCATAGCTGCTTCTTTCAAATTACTGTGGTGATGAGTCATTCACATTTTAAAGTATTTTGATAACATTGAGAACAACAGTTTCAAAACATTACACAGTTCTTAACTCGAAAAATACCCTAAACATTGTCTCTTCATAGGTTAAATTTTTCAGTGAATCGTACAGAGCAGTAATTATGCAAGTAACTTCAGTTGGTTCACTTCTGTAGTTGCTACCTCATTGAAGTGCTGCTTCACATAGGCAAAGATTTGTTATGAGCATTAGAAAATAATTGTCAGAATTACCAATTTCATTAATGATGAAAGCAGTTAAACATCTGTAATTCAGGCTTTGCTAACCTGAGCCTAATATTTTGTTTATATTTGAAATTAGATTTGAGAGACAGAGGAAACCTTGAGCTTTTGGTGGAGGGGACTCTGCAGGGCAGGTTCTCCACAGAATATGGCTGTGACAATATTGTGATCTAGATGGTGCCTGGGGTGGCTTGTCTGGGGGATTAGGGCTAGGCTACAGCCCCATAGAGCTGTGACTGGAGTGGGGCTAGGGAGGGGATGCCCAAGGAAGAGGAAGGAAGCCAGGAGAACATAGCTGTGGGAGTGTTTTAGTCTGGGCAGTACAGAAGATGCATGGCAGTAGGCAGAAAACCTCTTTTTTAAATTGCATGTAATTACATAATTTGAAGAAAAATTAAGTTCATTATATGGGTTTTGATACGTTTGTATGTTGATATATATAATTAAAAATATGTATGTATAGGAAGATAGGAGGTTTGGATAACAGTGGCCATAAAAAATAGTTGGAAATTAATTTAGAAGCTGTATAAATAAGAAAGAAGATACAAAATGTGCATGAAAGATGAAATCAGACTGAATTGCAGTAGATCAAGATAGAGCCACTTACAAAGTTGCAGGCAACAGTTCACTAACATGAGGTTTCATCACCTGAAATACTATAACTATGTGTCCGTATGAGCACTGCTAGAACACTGTAAAGTGTTGTAGCTAAACTGGCATAAGAATGGAATCCGTTGTTCTTCCACCATTTAGTTTTCAGCCGAGAGGATGACGGCTTCCCACTCACTGGGAACCAACTTCATAAACTTTTTTTCTTGGAACTCCTGCATCCATCTGACTGCACCTCATGTTTGCTAAAAATTTAAAAAAAAAAAAAAAATTACAGTATTGACATACAATAGATATTAATGTGATTGGTGTATTTATGAAATGGTTCAGTGAAAACTGAAATAAGATTTTGAGATCAAAATGCCTGATTTGATTTTCAAGATGAGAGTTTATAGGCTGTCACAAAGATAATTTTTTCATATACAGAAGGGAGATCCTGCGCAGAATACAGTGGCATTCTGTGGTATGAGGCTGCCAAAGGAATAAATCTTCTACTTCTTATTCATCAGTGGAGTCCAAAGAACTGCAGATACTGCTCTAACACATGTAGAACTGCAACGCATTGCCTGTCTCAGACTTGACAAAGAAATTAGTGCTCCAAATCAAAATTCTTCTGCCCTCTTTTGAAGCCTCTGTTGTTCTTTGAAAAGAAGTCTTACCACTATGATATCTTAAGATATTATGTTACTTGATTTGGGTATATTTGCATAATTTAATTAGGATTTTTTCATAACTATTTCTTGGACCCTTTGTAAACTGTATAGTTTGGATAAGTAGCATTCATGTAAGCACTTGAAAATTACTTCGTTTTACTAGTTTTGACTGGTGGTTCTATATGCTGGCGTGCACATTTCCACTATAATTCCGTAGCTGTTCCCACACGACATTAAAGAATAATGTTGGAATGTGGATTCTGCAAAGAATCTTGGGGGTGGTTTTGGTTTGGTTTTCTTTTTTTAATAATGTTTGAAATTATAGGAGTTTATGCATTTCTAGAGGACATTTTAGTATAGCAGTTCTCTCTCCAAGTATTTGTAATCCAGATGAGTCCAGTCCCTGCTCTAGGGATTTTGCATCAGTGCTTGCTTCAGATAAAAGCAGCATGTTTTTTATTCTGCTTAACTTTTCCTCACCAAAAGAGTTTATTGACTGTGAATAGGCGTTTGGTTTCAGAGAGAGTCCTCATTAAAACAGTGGAAGGCCTTTATTTTTATTGGGTGCAGCAAGATCATATTTACACTGGGAATTCATCTTTTTGGAGCAAGTTAGGTGAAATATTTGAAGAGAGTATGTCACAGTTAGGTCTGATACACAAACTCTTTTCTCCACAGATGAGCAGGTTGTTTTAGTTAAATGCTGCATTTTTTTTCCATTAGCGTGAAATACCAGAGCTATGTCTTACTCTGTTTTTCAAGACTGGCTTAGGAAAGAATGATAGAAGAACCGTTCAACCATCTTGTTTAATTTAACTCATATGACAAATTTAAGAGTTTGCGTTGCTGTTTTTATATACCAGGAAAGGGACTGGATGATTGATGCTTTTAACTGTAATGGTAACTTTGAAGCTGGATTTATGAGATGTGGTTGTGCAAGGAAGAATGAATTTTGCATATTTACCTCAGTTGTTTTATGACTGAGTTTTTGTTTAAAGTCTTTGTTTAAAATAAACTAAAACGATATCTCTGTGCTAAGTTTTGCTAAAAATTCACCAACAATTCACACATTTATTTATATATTTATGTTTTCCCCTGAAAGGATCCAAGTGAATGACCAAATTGTGGAAGTGGATGGAATCAGTCTGGTTGGTGTTACACAAAATTTTGCTGCAACTGTTCTTAGAAATACCAAAGGGAAAGTCAGGTGGGTATTTCAGAAGGAAAAAAAAAAAAAAAAGTGATTGAATATTTAAGGTTACCTGGCTTTTTTCATAGGAGTGTCAGCATGCCCAAGCAGAGTCAGAGTTTTTTGGCCTCTTTGTGTCTTCCCTCCTTTTATTCCAAGACAGGAATGAGCTATGGTATCACAGACTTTTGTTTTGACTTAGATTCTTAAAATATGACCAATGGAACAAGCTGAGATTGCACACAGAAGATGACTCTTTACTGGTCTAGACCTCCATGGACCTCACACTCTTTGCAGTAGCTGGAATGGTGAAGGTCAATGGGTGTCAGTCAGGTGGAAACTGCTGCCACTGATCTCCTCCCTACTCTTGTGGTGGAGAGACTGGCCATGTTACTGCTCCAGGGTTGGAGGAGTAAAGTCATAAGCACTGTGGTGTTCACAGATGCCACCTCAGCGCATAGGAGAAGAGAGTACTGGTTGCAGAAGTGTTAACAGCTGCCAAACTGAGGAGAGTAACATTAATTCACTCAACTACCCAAGTCCCTGCACCATCTCTGGGTTTTTCTGTTGCTGTGCTGTGCTTCACTGAAAGGCATCCTTGTAAAAATCCATAGAATAAAGAATAGGCTAGAAAATGTGACATATAGTGCAAGTAAAATTCTGAATTTATGTAAATAAAGGCTGTAAAATGTTTGTAAATTAATAAGAACAGTGTTTCCCTAGAAATGAACTGTTTTGCCATTTAAAAAATCTATGCAGTCACATAGCTTTTTTGTTTAATAGCTTATTAATTTCAGTAAAGATTTAACTCTGCAAAATAAATCCATAAATATCCTTTGCATGTTGCAAAGCAACAGCTATTCTGTAGTCACCCTTGGGTTCTCTCTCAAACTTCTCTCTAGGAAATACAGCTGAATTCTTTAATTAATGAGTTGATTTGTTGTGAACCATAACTAAGCTACTGGTGGTAATACATGCAGTCCTCCTCAGATGGTGGTTCTATATGCTGGCGTGCACATTTCCACTATAATTCCGTAGCTGTTCCCACACGACATTAAAGAATAATGTTGGAATGTGGATTCTGCAAAGAATCTTGGGGGTGGTTGATCAAGGTTTGATTTGAAAGAGGTTATTTAGGAAAATTGTTATCAGAAATTGTAGTGTAATTACAGGTTAATATATTTTTGTATAACATTTACAGTTTTAGTTTCATCAGTACTATTTCTGCAAAGATGCTCACATGTTGTGAGTATTCCTACTGAGTTAACTATAAAAAACAGTATATATTTTATTAGGCTTTTTTCGGTTGGGATCTTAGAACATAAAATCCAAGTGAAAAATGCTATGTGTATTTTGTTTTTGATGTTTTAGCTAAAAGAAAGCACTGATACAAACATATGTATTATATATTTATAATTGGCTTAGTTCGTGTAATTATCATTGCATAAGTTACAGAATAGAATATTTGTTTCCATGGAAAAATAATGGATTTAGAGGAAGGAAGAAACATAAAACAATTTTTGCACAGAATGCTTCCAGAATCTTTTCTTGGGAAGCAAATTACAGTCCAAACTGGTTGCAATCTAAACCCTTTTGTCACAAAATAGTGGACTGTAAAAAGTAGTTCTTCATTGTTGTTTAGCTCACATTGTCAAGTGTACTATGTATCCTGTGCACTGGGATCATTGGCTTCTGACAGATGTCATTTATCAAGGAGAGATGTGTGAGCTTCTGCATTGTTCCTTGTAAGTAAGCTTAAGATACTGAGCTTCCAGTGGATAAATGACACAGTGAGTTAGTGTCACAACTAGATAAAAAAACCCCATAAAATAATGTTAAAAATAAAATTTAAAGCATTTTATAATAGGAATTATAAAGTATTATTAAATAAAACATATATATGTAAGAATCTATATGCACGCTGGCATACTGTGTGATTAGCAGCATCTTACTAATGCCTATGTCTTAATTAGAGGGAAGGAATGGGTAGAATTTCCTGCAACTCCCCTTAGTTTTGTTTCACTTAAAACTTTATGGGAAAAAACCCTCAGAAAGACTGCTTTACACAACCCAGGTGAGCAATGCATGGGGTTTTTTCTGGTGTGTGGTAGTCTGGGAGCGAGACTTGATGAGATGCTAAGCATTGTGTGACACAGGCTCCTGCCTGGCTTCTGCTCAGGTCCTGAACTGCTGAGTTGTCTCAGCTGTTGAGTTGTCACGGCAAATGTTGAGTTTCATCAGCATCTCTCTACAGTGCTAATGAACTGTATTGGTTTCAGCCACTCAAAATCAGAAATGCTTCCAGAAAGCTGTACTTTGGCTTCATTGTACATTTAAACATTTGCTTGTAAAATACTGATGAATTTAGCTGTGAAAGAAAATGACATTTTTATCTTGCTGGCTGTTTCCCTTGTGCTGTATGACAAAAGAACCCTGCCTGCTGCTTGTTTTGTGGAGAGAACAATTATTTTCTGACAGATCCTCTTTCTCCCTTACACCTTTGTTGGAGCTGGGATGGAGAAATCCCTTGTTTCCACACTCTTTGGCAGGCAGTGCTCACCTCTCCAGCTGAACTGCTGCAGAACGTTAGGGAGGACGTAAGAGGATCTTCTGGGGCAAAATCCCTTGCTTGCTCCCAGCCTAAGCTCCTGCCTGTTGGCAGTGCAGGGAATGATGCTACTGATGTTTGTGTGTGCCAATCCTCTGGCAGCTGCCATTAATGATCCATGTCGCTGTGAGAGCCAGGAGCAGTGGAAAAGATTGTTGCTATATAAATACCTTCTGCAGTTCCTGTGGTGGGGGTCCCAGCTGAACTTCAAATGTGTAGGCAGTGTTCAATCACACACCCCACCTAATTCAAGGCAAGGCAACTTCATGAATCTTTCTTTCATAGGAGAAATCACATACATGCTCACGTCTGCTAATTAATAGTGTCAGTTTAATGGATTTAATAGAACTGCTTTAAAAAGCATAGTTATCTTTGTGATTATAGCATCTGTGCGCACCTTTGTTCTGCCAGGTGTCCTGTACACACAGAGATTTATGTGGATCTCACTAACATTACTTCACATATATAACCCACAGCATTACACATAGACAATTGTTTTGCCCTTAATCTAGTCAGAGTGAATGCGAGATTGTGTAACAGGGTTTGCTATGTCAGATCAGGTGCAAAGAAAGGACATTCATGAACAGAATTACATTAAAGCTACTTCTTAATTCTTTGCAATAAATGCAGTCAATACCTCTTTAGGGAGCTGAAAGCTGAAGTACCAATACTTAGTGATTTATTTTTCTCCTTCAAGCTTTCTGAATACTTTGAATGATCCTGACAAAGGAAGTCGTTGACCTAGAATAGATTTTTGCAATGTTTCTGCCAGAGAAATGTATCCAGACTGTCTGTAGCTGACACAGCAAAGAATTTGTGAAAATGAAGACATGGCTTTTACCATTTGAACTGTTAAGGTGAGGGTGTAAGGGGAGAAAAGCAAGAGCAAATATAAGCATCTGTGATTATTTTATCAATTGTTTGAAGTATTGGACTATTCAAAAGACTTGTCATACCATAATAGAAGATCACTGACCCAATCAATTTGGCTTTTCCAATGATAATAAATTCAATTATTCTTTGTTATAATGTTATATAGGAAAGTAATCAGAACCAACCACATGTACTTGGGTAGCCTATGAGACAAAGGAAAAACAGGGAATTCTTTAATAATCCCAGCTGACTTCTGTTTTTAGGGATGAGAATTAGTGTCCTCGTGACTCTAATCTGACAAATACAACTATGAATGCTATTTCAATTGCTGTAAATATTAAGTCTTCTTTATAATTTTGCTTAATAATTTAGTTTACTAATATGTTAGTGTATTTCAGAGTTTGATTATATACAGGAGGGATTTTCCTGTGAAATGGGTGTTCTTTTTCAACAGTGTTGAGTTTTGCCTCTGCTGTAATTAATTTAGATGCCCCTGCATCTAAATTAATGGATCAGTCAGAGGAGAGCACCAGACTAATATCACTAAATGTTCTGTTCTTCTTCTGACCCCATTTAAGATGTAATCCATCAACTTGAAGTTTGTGAGTGGTGCCTACAATCACAAACAATAGGATAAGGAGGCAGCTTGACAGTGGGAATCCTGTCCTGTCATAGAGCTTCTCCTGTGTTATTTTGCTTGCAGTCTTCTCATGAACTCATTTGAACCTCACATGGTGCTGAGTAGCAGATCTGCAGTTTTTGAAATTGCTTGGGTGATGTTAAGCCTCTGTGCTCCCACTCTTCCCCCTGTTCTTAATCATGATGAAAGGGTGGTAGGGGATGTCTTCAGCAGAGAAAGCTGGCTTGGAGAGTTGTATGCCTTCAGGGAATTTTATTTTTTCTTGAACACACCCACGAGAGAGAACATCTAGTTCTTTTACAGAGAAAACTTTGTCTTTTCATCATCGTTACCTAGTCTCTGTCCCTCCTAGGACAAATACGGGAGCTTTTGGTGGGGACTGCGCTTCTCTGCCTCACTGGATACAAAGATTTGTGCACATGCAGCTCTGTGAGAGGCTTAGTCCCAGGAAAGGAGGACATGGTCCTGGGAAGACTTAATGTGTTGATAAGTAGGAAGGGTCTTTTATGAGAGAGAGAGTCATCAGAAAATCCCAGTCCTTCGTATGCTGCTTATATGCTTTTATTATTACTGCTTTCCTCTGAAAGGTTTCTTTTAAGGAAGTTAACCAAATTCTGTGTTTTACTGGAGAAGTGAATTTTAAATTCCATGTCCTCTTTCCGTATCCTGTTCTATGAATGTGACTAAGCATTTTCTCAGCTTTCCAAATGGTTGCTAGGCACTGAGCGGATGCTCTCATGGTACTTTCTGAGGCTCTTCTTGAGTTGTCAGAGAACCATACAGAACCTGTGCAAAACCTGTTTGTTTTCTCGTGATTGAAAGTAATTAATGGCATTAATTCTAAACTGATGAGTTTACCAGTTTTTGTTTAATTAGATTTTGCTGAAATTTGTCAAA